CACATTCGCACCGTCTTGTAGGGATAACGTTCTCCTCCACCTCACTGACTCACTTGTCAATGATCAATGGAAAAAGAGGGTGGCTTTCCTGTCACTTGTCTCGTACTCCTCAGTGCATGGAATGGAGGGGAAAGAGTTCACTCACTCATTCATGTGAAACGGCACCACTTGCAGACCTTGCATACAACCTCACACGGAGGCTCCTTCTACTGTTTAATGTCAATGGAGAACTCTGTGACCTCGACGGGTTATAATGGACCGTTTCGTGGCACTGCAGTCATCCCCTTTTAAGATGCGATAGTACACAAAGCTACATCATCTTCTTGTACTTCTCATAGCTACAGTCAACAGCCTCCCCTGTTGCACTGCTTACAATTCGACTAACTTAGCGTCTTGAATTGATCGAATATACTACTGAAATGGGTATTTTGCACTGTTAGTATCACTTTGTTTTAGATAAATCTAATCCTACTACACTACTTACCCACGCCAAAATCGTGAGTTGCCACCTCAAAACACTGTGCTTCCACAGTCTACAACAAAAACAACTGAACGCCGTAGTTAAAATGCATTAGCAACTATTTATTAACTAATTTGATAAATAAGTAGGAAATGTTTAAAGGAAATGAATTGTATGATGGGCAATGAACGGCAAAGCACAACATTGAGAATGAGCTGCCTTGCTTTTTTTTTCAGTCGCTCAATATGTTCATGAACTCCTCCAGACTAACTAAATAAATCCAACACACAAAATCAGGATGAGCGCTCAACCCTGCATGCAACTAAATAGAACTGAAATATCCAATTTATACTTTTACAGTTATCAGTTATTTTTTGCACACTTCTTAGTTCTATGGCCTTTTGAATAAACTGCAACAAACAGCAGATGACCTACTCGATCTGTCCCCATCCCTGTCAAATTCGTCTATCATGACATGAAGTTCATCGTCAGATAGATTTTCTCCCAATTCCCTAGAGTCGAGGAAAAATAACATTAAGAGCAGTGGTTCAATTGCGTGAATGGTGACCCCAAAAACTCCCGCCGTCATTATAATGCCCCGGTGTTTTGTTTATTATATATCCTTTAATTACTTTAAGGAGTCATTGTGGGAGAAGACGTGGCAACGTTGGGTTTGGCAAGTGTAACTGTCACACCCCACCTTACACAGACGGATGGCTGGAAAGTGGACAGGTTTGTGTCAATCACTGCAAGCTTCAAAATAGGTTTCTTTTATAACAACAAAAATTGTGGTAATTCGTGGAAAGGTTTAAACTTGACACCCATATCTGCCCTCCCATTGAGGACGAGTGGGACCTGGTCGCCAATCCGGATTAGTGTGCAGCGCCTCCTCGCTCATTTGTAATGACTATCATTTAAAATATGCATAAGCTTAAATTGTTGAGGGTTTTATTTACCCTGAAATAATAATATGCGTGTCTTACGAGACCGGAGGGAATGCAATGATGTTTACGGTGACCATGGGAGACACACATTTCGGCCAACCAGACAAACCTCTTTAGTTCCCACTGGGGAGAAACTCAGGGGTGAATGCGTAGACCTTCGAAAAATGAATTAAAGTGTATCAGTTTTGAGGTAAACGATACGCTTATGAGGCTCACAACTTTGCTACTCTCTTAGTGGGTTAAAGGAGAGGCCTAATTACTGTCCCGCAAACCGTATCAACTGCTCGTACTTCCACATCCAATCAAAATACCGTTGCACTAGGGATAAATGTAACAAAAAACGCCCAGCAGTGCGATGTCCCAATTTTTAGCCTCTCCGGACAGAGGTGCAACAGACGCGGTGAACACGGGCGGAGAGAGAGTTATGACGCATGCCTGCAGACAAACAAAGCACCACCGAATGGAAAGCGGGCTGGGGAAGGAAGGCAGCCACGTGGCTGTTCTTTGTTTGAGAAGCTCCCATGTGTATGCTAATTTCGCTTGCCTGATTATTTTTGGATAATTCGGACATAATTTACAATTGTTTAGACTGTCATCAAAGTGATTGCCTCCTTTGGTGGCGGGATGCTAAGATGGCAATCACAGAGGAAGGTTGATTATGTGAAGAATACGGTGTAAAAAAGGTTAAGGACAGTTGTAACAGGAGGAATGTGTCAGAATTTCACTAAAACCCACCCAAACACTCATGGTAAATGCGGCCTTGTGGAGATGAAGTGAGGCGTGCCCCGATGAGCAGAAAAAACTGGATGACATTTGCAACAGGCACACGATTGTTCCCGGGTAAATTTATTTTTGAATGTCAAGAATGCGTAGCAGTAAACAATCCGGATTATGTGAAAATAGCCTCGTCAAAAAATAAACAATATTTAATTATTTGCCATCTGTCTGTGTACACAGCATACACCGCCTGCAAGACCAGCTGGCATCTTTCCACTTTTATTCAAAAGGACTCAGAGACAAAAGGAAAAAAAACCGACGACAAAGCTGGTTAAGCTACTTTGGCAAATCCTCTCCAACACGCCTAAAGGGAGAGCACAAAGGCAGTGTTCCATGCGAGTGTCAAGGTTGTCAATCCTCATGCCAAAGTTTTAAGAGCACTACATTGATGCAACAGTCGCAGGCAAAAAAAAGAAATTTCATCAACAAAAACGCTAGTGAGTATATTAATATGACTAAAACCGAATTTTCGGTAGGCCGTTAAATCATTTCCTCACAGATGATGGCAAATAGGGAAGAAGGTTTATAAGCCTCGACCGTGTTGCGTGTTGTTATTTTTGCCGACAACTGTATCCCTGTCATACGATAAGCTACAAATAATGATAGACAAATTTGGCAGACGAGTTGGTAAATCCAGTGGGCCAACGTCTTCGACGCTTGTTTTTTTTTGTATATCCCAATCAAAACACCAAAATTTTTTCCTTGGTAAAAAGGCAAATTTTGTGTAAATCAATCAAAAAGTCACCTAAAATTGCACAATGGGGTCAGCAGAAATAATGCGCGCCTTTTGAGATTGTGTTCGCATGATCTTATCCTATCAGAGGGGCTGCACCAACATTTTGGCCAACTTATACGCAAGGCAGCCATTTTTACCGGTTTTATTTCACTCACTCCTCCGACTATTCTTATAAGTGATAAAAGCGCGTTCATGTGACTGTCTAGTGGGGATCAACACCATCAAGTTTAGCGCAATTTATCATTTCAGTATGTCCAGTCAGTCCAGTGACAAATGGGAATCAAGTTCATCCGCGGTCTGTTTGCACTAGACCATTTGAAATAGGCAAAGGGTAGTTTACCTTGCACAGATAAAGGCGTGGTCGAAGGTAATAGTTTGATTAAGGCCAGATGGGAAGGACAAGGATAGGGTAGATGATGACCGATAAACGTGATCATGGGACCATGTCTCGAAGGTGATTGCGTGATGCGTTTGGGACCTCCATTTTCTCTTTTAATAAGGTGGCGGCATAAAGAAGCGGTCCATTATAACCCGTCGAGGTCACAGAGTTCTCCATTGACATTAAACAATAGAAGGAGCTTCCGTGTGAGGTTATGTGTCAGATTGCTAGCAAGGTCTGCAAGTGGTGCCGTTTCCCATGAATGAGTGAGTGAACTCTTTCCCCTCCATTCCATGCACTGAGGAGTACGAGACAAGTGACAGGAAAGCCACCCTCTTTTTCCACCTTCATTAAAGCTAGACCATTGACAAGTGAGTCAGTGAGGTGGAGGAGAACGTTATCCCTACAAGACGGTGCGAATGTGGCTGCAGGGTAAATAGAGGAGACTGTAAAGTGAAGGTGAAACGGAAGAGGAGGTAAGAGGGCCAGTGGCAAAGCGCATGTTTGTGGGTCATAATAGGAGTGTGTGTGGGGTAGTGGGAGACGGCGAGACGAATTGCACCAATGGTAGTGGGGTGGTTTGAAGGAGGGAGGCAGGAGGTGTGGAATGGTAGGTGGGTGGCTGTGATGTGACAGACTTGACGCAATGTCAGTGCCAGTTGGCGTGCAGGTAGGTAGGCAGGCAGGCAAGGAGATGGAGGGAGGGATGGAGGGAAGGAGGCAGAGAGAGAGAGGTGGGAAGGGAGGAGTGCGAGTTAATGAGTGGGTGGGTGAAAAAATTGGTCCACATTTGGCGATGTGGTTCTGCTGCTGCTGCTGCTGCTGCTGCTGCTGCCGCTGATGATGATGCATGAGTGGGGTGAGGGAGAGGGTGGTAGTTGGGAGGGAAGATGAGGCAAATTGTCAAGAGACGGATAGGAGGAGTGGTGAGTGCGAATGCGAGTGATGTGGCGGTAGCGGTGGAGGCATTGGCATAGGCGTAGGTGGAGGCGTTGTTGGTATTGGAAGAAATGTACGAATGTGTGCACTACGGTGAGCTGAGGAGGCAGTTGGCGTGACACTGAAGTTGTGCACACAGTCATGACCTCATTGGCCTCACTTCTCGACACGAATTAGATGTGGTGAAGTGTCACTGCGTGGATCAGACTGTCAAGCAAACGAGCCAGTGGACTTCAGTCAGCACACCCTCTGTATCCTCTCTGCCATCGGCTTTTGGTCAGCATCCATGCGATGTGAAGCCCATCCACCTTCACTGCATCTCTCTTCACTCCACTTCTTCGACTGCCCCATCACATTCGACTATTCACAACCGAGTGTTACGCAGATGAGTGTTTGTGTTTTTGTGTGTGCGCAATAGTGTGATGTGATTTGTGCAGGGTACGAGGCGAAGGGTAGACGAGAGGGGAGAGCAAGCGTTTGAGAAGAGAGGAGAGAACTGATAAGGCGAATGCGAAGGGAGCCTATACCGCCATATCTGCTATATACTCTGTCCTACTCCACCCACTACTACTCCACCGTCTCCGCCCCCGTCTTCGCCTTCTATTTGTCTTCCTTCTTCTCGTCTCCAACTCAGATGGGGGTTATGTGGTATGTGAGTGTGATGAAGTCACACCATAGTCACACTACTGCCAATAGAAACACTGCATCACCGATTTGATCACCACGTGTCAATTAGGGGAGAGTCACCACATTGCCCAATGACAGATCGTCACTTTGCGAGTGAACGACACAATCCTTACTACTACTACCACCACCACACAATCGAACATGTTGTGGCAAATGTGCCAAGCCTCACATAAATGTGTGACAGTTGGTGGGGAGAATTGAGGACGTGTTGGAGGACGAGATGTTGTTGACTAACTGCAAGTACACAGAGAACGCCTTGATGAAGGGAGCACTGTGATTGGTTGATTGTCGACTCAGAGGCACTAGAATCGTTGCAACATTGCTGCTGCTCTAGGGTCGGCAAAATGGTGGTATGAGGGGCATTAGTTGGCCCATAGTTGTCATTAACAACTGAGTGGATGTGTTGGCTGCTAATCCGTGTGATGTGGATGTCAGGAAGGAGGAGGAAAATGCGTTTGTCATAATATTAGCCAATCTTGGTTTTTACGGATTGTTACCTTTTACTACTGAAAGCCCTTTACATTCCTAAATGCATTATCAATTTGCGTCTGTGTGTTAGTAAATTATTTACGAAAAATTTTCACTCCTGAGTTTATAACAATTTTTTAAAGTGACTGGCATTCACCTATTCTCAAAGGAGATTTTTTAAATAATAGTTTTTTGCTCTTGATTATGTTAATTTACCTAAAATTATGTCTACTTTATATTGGAAAGTAAAAATGTTTACTTTGCAATCTTCTTAAGGGTCCGGTAGGAGATTTTACCGCTCGCTTCTTCGTCAAACAATTTGAAGGCTTGAACGATTTCGGTAATTGGATCGCGTTCTTGAATAAGCTTTTTCACTTTTTGAAAAAATTTTTAACATCCAGTGTCATAAAGTTGGATGCAAATAAGAGGTTATGCTGTCTAACCTATGGTGAAGAAATCTCTGAAGCATATCTTATTATCTTCT